ATGGGAAGTAGAAATGGGAACATATTACATTGAGCTTGTAACAAATTCAATCCTTAATTTCATCATGGAGTAGGTGTGTATGAGCTGCTAAAATGTATGAGGGCATAAAAATGTTTCCAGGACAGATGGCAAAAAATAAGTACACCCTGAATCAAAATGATTCAAATCTGACTCGCACAAACCTGCACAACATATTAGGAGATTCATTTATTTTGATGAAACAAATATGAAGCCAATATCAAATCTTTAAAAATGCCCCCTCTAAAAAACCATAGTAAGAAAAATGATAATACAAACACAGCTGTGTTTGCTTGTATAGATGAAACTGATAAATCTTTTCCTTTCAGATATAGGAGACTAAATAGCACAGTGTGAGTTTAGCAATACCTGTCCACCAGCCTACATTGAGTTTATGTCATACTGGTGTTCTCCAAACATTTCATCGCTTTAGCTTTTATTCTTAAGAAAAGATGCATAAATACAAAAATTACTTACAATGTCTTCCAGAATGTGGAGCTTAATCAACAGCGCTTTTGTTAAATCAGAATATGCCAGCTTTGAATTATAATTCTTCTAACATAACTTCAAATGCAAAGCATGAGTGTGAATTCATATTCTTTCTTTTGGGGCCAATGGGTGGGCCTCTCACAACACGATCCGTATCATCAACTCATTTGCGCAGGCGCAACCAAATATACATGTGGGTTTTAATAAATAATGTAATCATGGTACTAAAATTACTTATTTTTATCCTTACCTTACTAAAGAATGCCAATAGACATCTTAAAAAAAATGTTTTATGACTTTTCTGAGACAATTTTGATGCTTTTTACATTTTCTCCGTTTAACTGCTGGTCTGGCATCATCATAGGACAAGCTCAGAGTAGTTTGGCAAAATATGATTAAACCACGTTTATCTGCATTTTAGTTTTACTTTCTTTGGGTTACACACTATATACCATAAGGTTAACATAAAAGGAAAATTCGTACTCCGGAATCGGGTCGCGGGGGCAGCAGACTAAGCAGAGACTCCCAGACTTCCCTCTCCGCTGACACCTCCTCCAGCTCTGTTGGGGGAAGCCCTAGGCGCTCCCAGGCCAGCCGAGAGACATAGTATCTCCAGCGTGTCCTGGGTCGTCCCCTGTTCCTCCTTCTCAACTAACTCCTCTCGATGTGGAGGAGAACCGGCTCTGCACTGGGCTCATTCCGAATGACCGAGCTCCTCACCCTATCTCTAAGGGAGAGCCCAGCCACCCTGCGGAGAAAGCTTATTTCAGCCGCTTGTATCCGGGATTCTCATTCTTTTGTTCATGATCCAGATTTCATGACCATAGGTGAGGGTAGGAACGTAGACCGATCGGTAAATTGAGAGCTTTGCCTTTTCGCTGAGCTCTCTCTTCACCACCACAGACCGGTTAAGCATCCGCATTATTGCAGCAGCCGCACCGATCCGTCTATCGATCTCCCGCTCCATTCTTTCCTCACTCGTCAACAGGACCCCAAGATAATTGAACTCCTCCATTTGATGCAGGGACTCTCCTCCAGCCTGAAAGGGACAAGCCACCTTTTTTCGGTTGAGAACCATGGCCTCGGACTTGGAGGAGCTGATTCTCATATGGTCGCTTCACACTCGGCTGCGAACCGCCCCAGCGCACGCTGTAGGTCTTGGCAGGAGGGAGCCAGGAAAACATAAAACTCAAAAAGACTAGATTTATATTTAAATCCAAAGCTGTAAAGTTAATTCCCAGGAGTAGCGTAGGATCCCATTTCCAGTGCAGATTGGGCAATGACAAATGATAAGGCAGGAAGGATTTTAAGGTAAATATTTTCAAAGGAAATACATTATTAACCTTTAAATATTATGGTTTAGTAGGCTTACTATTTTTGAGGAGGTAAAAACATAATTTAGGTCTTTTTAAAAAAGAGGGGGACCCGGATGTATATCTGATTGCTTATGTGCAAATGAGCGGATGGTACGGATCGTGCTTCCTGGAAGGATCGGTTATTGACAGGGCCAAGCAGTCAAGAATCTAATATGGCGGAATCTTGTATAAATTATTTCAAAGCTATACTTTTCAACTAAAAAGAAAAATATACATTTTAGCACTTTGCCAAAGATGTATAATTTTCATCCACAAGCAAAGAGGGTGCTCTAAATACAGGCACAATGTCTCATGGAAAATATGTAAACACTTTTGTTTAAAAATGTATTAACTTTTTTATATGCATGTGTCTTTCCAATGTATTACATGTTATGGCTGTCTCTCCATGAGTACATTACACGCTTAGAAATTATGCAAAGGTTTTAATGTGGTATTCCTTGAGCTCAGGCAATCATCAGTTTTGCTTCTCTAATGTTGCTTTTGCTTGCCTCATATTTAGTGGAAGGATTGGCTGTTAATGGATTTTAAGAAAGCTCAACCCTCATAGTTCTGAAGAGAGTCTATTCTTGCGAAGCTATAAATCTACATCCTTTAAAGTCCTGCCCTGACCAGATCATGTTTTGTTTATCTCACACCAATTTGATATTTAATCAGACTCAGCAGAATGCTGAGAAATATTTAGGTATTCCTTATTTCACCTATTGTGACTGCTGATATATGATTGTATGCTGCAGTTGAAAAACATTTTTTTTTCTACATATACAGAGCTGGGAAAAAAGTGTTTCCTCTCTGATAGTTTTTTTTTTTCCAGTTTTTCCTTTTTGACACTCAAAGCTTTTAGGCTGTCCAATAATTTTTTATACCAAAGACAACTTGAGTTGATGAATGGGCAGTTTTCAAATGATGGTTTTATCTTTTTATGGAAAAAAGCTTTCCAAACCAACCTGGCCATATGTGAAAAGGTAATTGCCCCCTAAAACTCACAGCTGGCCATGCCACCCTTGGCAGCAGGCACTAGAAACTGGCAGTTTGTCTCTTATATCACTCTGGAGGACTTTTGGCCACCTTTTCTATGCAGAATAGCTTCAATTCAACAGTATTTAAGCCTGGATGGCTAGTTCAAGGTCACACTAAAGCATCTTGATTATATTAAAAGACCAAACTTTGAACAGACTTTTGTTACTTTGTATAATCTATTACTGTAATGCATTGCTTTCTTTATTTACAACACAGTTACTTCAGAATTCTGATGCATTATACAGCCAGTTGGGACTGTGTAGAGAGAACGTGACTATTATTTGATTGAATAACATATTTGCCACTCCTGCAAACGTACACTTTTAAACACTATATTATGTTTGACTCTAACGGTTAATGCATTCATGTTCATCTCTGTAAAATATATTTAATTTATCTAATTTCTCAATGATTAGAGGTGGATTGCTGATGCGCTTTAGATTTGTGTCCAAATGTATTAGAAATGAGGGTCATGACCTGATGGCTGGACATTCTCCTTTAGAACTTTGATAATTGATAGCAATAATTACTCTGAATTCAGGTCACAACAAGCAGACCTAGACTATCCCTCTACCGGAATGATATTGCTTGGAATCTCCATTTCTAAAATTCTATGTTATTCTTACACTAGATGTAAGAGGTACAAAAACCTTTTGTCTACCAAAAATCATACACTATATACATTTCTAAACAGGTTCCTTATAACTTACATATTTACAAGTTGATGCAGAATTCATTCATCTAGTGCTGCTCAAATAAGACGTCTTCAAATAAACTCATTGGCACAGAAAAAGTAGCACAGGATGTAAGTCATAAACACACTTTTGAAGCTGAAATGGCTTAAACGATTTTTTAAATGACATTTAGGAAGTTTATGCACCAAAAAAAAAATCATAATGGAGGTAATTGTTCAGATATTTTGAAAACCTTCATGTTAACTTGGTCAACGTGAAAAAACATATAAAAAACAAACCCTATTAAGGGAATCTTTTATACATTCTGTATGCCTCCAAACATTCTTTTTAAGAAACATTAAATATCTTTCATAGCCATGATAAAATCTTATTTCCAATGTGAATCACACCTGTGCAGATTGAACTTCTATTATCCATCTGAGCAAAAAAAAACCCTAACAGGATGATACTTTCCCTTTCTGTCCAACAATGAAAAACCCAGTGACAATGCACAGCGAGATTCATTTGAAGTATTTTTTCCCTTCTTACCTCTCCATTATTATGAAAATTGTAAAAAGGGGGTCCAGAGCCATTTTTTTCCACAGTCATGAGTCAATAGCCTGCATTTGTCACAAACAATTCTCAATAGAGGCTCTTATTCTCCTCTGACTCAACTTAAATTGCCTAATTTTGTTCTTACAAGAGAGACAATGTAGCTGTCAGAGACAGAAATGAGAGAGATGATGACAGCGATGCTGAGGAACGGAAAGAACTCCCTCCTAATTCAGGAAAGGCTTGGGTACTTCTGCCGCTGCAGGAGGTTTCTCTGCTATAGATTCTTGCTGGAATTCTTCTGGTATTTATCTGTACTTACAATCAACTCCTGACAGAAAACACAGTGTTGATTACAATAAATGCAACACAGATCTGGTGTCAGTGACTTTGGGTCGATACAACTGACAAAGAGAAGACTAAAGGCGGTTTGGATTTGGCTCAGTCAGCACTCTTCTCTTTTTCTACTCACACCTAATTACTCTATGACACGAGGTCCGAACATTTCTTTCACCAATGAGTTTCTGATTGCTGTTCTCTCTTACTTCTGCTCTACTTAACCTTCTCGTGTCACTTACTGTTATTCACTCCGTGCACGAGAAAATGCTAACTTCCGGATTTATTACCGGAAGTTGAAGTGTTTACTTCCTGTCGCTAGTCTGCGCTATCCCCCCGCACTGAGAAAATGATGTCCAAAGCAAAAAGGATCGTAACCTGTCAAAAAGCTGAAGGTGGGAACAACTTTTACTGTTCTGTGCCGCTGTGTACCGCCGGGGGTAGGTTCAACAAAGTGCTGAGCTTCCACAGATTCCCCAAAGACCCGAGTTTGCGCGCTCAATGGCTAGCAAAAATAAGAAGGAAAGACTTCACCGTGATGGCTAACTCTTCAGTTTGCAGCAGGCATTTTAAGACTGGGGAAATTGTTTTATCGGCCAAAGGGAGACGAAAACTTAAACCCGAAACGGTTCCATCTATTTTTCCGTGGACCAAGCCATCGAGGCCAGGAGTGTGGGAACGCTGTCCTCGGGCAGCCGCAACAGGAGGAGAAGATGGCGCCGCGGATGACAACTCTGCTGCGTCTGGCAGCAACACAGGCATGGAGATGGACTGTGAGCCTGCTCAAACTCCGCCTGTCCCCATGATTGAGGACCACGACTACGCGGAGAGTCCTTTCATCACCGTGGACCGCAGTAAATACACTGACATGTGTAAAGAGATCGAGGAGCTCAGACAGCAGCTTGAGTCTCAGCATCTGACCCTCAGATTTGGGCTGCAGCGGTTCGCCTCATCCAAAGAGGATATTCGTTTCTATACCAGGTAAGAATGGCCATTTACACGGTATATTGTACTGTTTTTGATTAATATATTTACTCTGGTTTTGGTATATGCAGTAATAGCTGTCTTTTCTTTTGTTTAACTGAAAAAAAAACAATAATATAACAATTGGCAGAGTTAAGAGTTGCAGACAATGTGTTGCTGTGTGCACATCATATAATCTATTGAAAATGTCAATCACTATTATCCATTCTGTTAAGGGAAAATACTGAATTACACTGTGCTGAACAATATGTAATAACATTCCTCTTTTAATGCAGATTTCCATCATATGAGCATTTGATGGCATTCTGGTATCTTATTCAAGAGGCAACCACCAGGATGGTGAGGGTGAACAGTGCTCAGAGAAATCTTTCCAGCAGCACATCCACTGAAAGCCCTGTGACCAGACCAACTGTAAGTTATGGTTTGTTTTATGAAATGAGTCATTTAACTTTGTAGAGTAGATGTGTAAATATTTAATTTTAGCCGTTACAATTATTTGCTTTTATTCAAAGTAAATGTGTAGTGTTTTTAATATTATTATAATAAAAAGGTTAATTATTGTATTATGTCTTCTTTGCAGAAATTGTTGCCAATTGATGAGTTATTCCTCTTTCTAAATTATCTTTCCACTGGCTGCACTCAAAGAGAGCTCGGCCACAAGTTCAACATCCACAGAGCCACAGTGAGCAGGATCATTGTAACGTGGGCCAACTTTCTTTACACTCTGCTTGGGTCTGTTTCAATTTGGATGACAACTGATGCAGTCAAAGCAAATCGGCCTGTAGACTTCAATGGGACTTATGAAAACACTCATGTAATTTTGGACTGCACAGAAATGAGATGCCAAACTCCTTCCTCACTTCTACTACAGAGTGAGGTTTTCTCGACCTACAAGTCGCACTGCACCTTCAAAGCCCTGATAGGCATGTCCCCCCATGGAGCACTGACTTTTGTGTCTGCGCTGTTTGAGGGTTCCATCAGTGACAAAGAGATCTTCCGTCAGTGTGGCATCACCTCCCTTCTAACCCCTGAAATGGAAGCAATGGTGGACAAAGGGTTTCTGATCGATGAGCTGGTGTCTGGGAAAGTTCACCGTCCCGCCTTTCTGTCCAAGGAGGAGCAGATGCCTGAGGTGGACGTTCTCAGGACTCAGTCCATAGCTCGCCTCAGAGTCCATGTCGAGAGGCTCATTAGGAGAGTCAAAGAAAACAAACTTTTTGACACAGTTATCCCACTCTCCATTTCTGGGAGCATTAGTCAAATTTTTACAGTTGCTTGTCTCCTCACAAACTACCAGTATGGACCCCTGGTTAAAAAGTGGGCACACGCTGAGTAGCTGCTGTAGTTCTTATTTTATAGATTTGTAGAAACTGTTCATATCATTACTTTACCAACTACAGTTCACATTTTTTACTTGTCCCAGGGAATTAATTTTTGAGAGAAGTTTTTTTTTTTTTTATGTAAAAGTATTCACATTAAAAGTATTCACAGCAAACAAGGATTGTTCATTCGAGTTTTTAATTGTGTTATTTTATATTATTGTGTGATAACATGCACATATTGCAATTGAAATGTTTATTAATGTAATGTCGGTCGGAGAGAAATCCTTGTAGGCTTCACTTAGACGGAGAACAGAGAGATCAGGTAGGTCCCCATGAACACCTTTGTAAAGTGTGCTCCTGGAAGAGAAGAACAAATTATTAAACAGGAGATAATGAAAGTACTGAAATATAATAGATAAAAAAGAGATCCTTTACAATACTTGTCCTGCAGTGAGGAAATTTTAGCGTTGAAATACACATTTCAGAAATAGAGTTTGCTCAAAAAAAAAAATGGATACACATAAGATAAACATGATAAACACCTGTTTTATGCATATGCACAAATATACATATTTGCTGCATATTAATTAGTAGGCCTAATTTCTATTAAACTATAAACCATAATTGCACTTGTTCAGTACAGTGATGCCTTAAAAAATGAAAACATTAATAAAATTGTACATTTTAATGACAGCAGCTCATTTGTACGCTACACAAATACAATTCTGTGAAAATTGTAAGCTTCTGACTTAATTCAAATGCTATAGAATTCATAAAGCTTTTATTTAAAATGTACCGTATGCCACTTCCATAACATTAGACTCTTACAAAATTACAGGGACTTACCGGACTCCCTCAGTGGTCTTTCTCCTCTTTGGTTTGGCAGATAACACAGTCATCTTATCAACTGGCCCAGGCTTTATTCCCTGTTATATACAAACACATTTAAATCAAATCATTTATTTTATTTATTGTATTAATGTATCATGACATAACCTACCAGTACTCTGGGCTTATGCCATTGTTGTTCTCCCTCGGTGCAGCTCATCATCGGGGGCACCACTTGGAGCTTCAGCTGGGAGTAATGGGCACACTGAAAAAGCAAAGCAACACAGTGGTTGCATAAGGCTTTTCCAGCCTTACAGGAGCAGCTGAAGTGTAGTAGTTCCACAGACGTTGAGTCTTTCAGAACCACCTGAAAAGTACAATGTTATTTAGTTATTTTTTTACTCACATCATTCAATATGGAACAGAGGCTATTTTTATAGATGGTGACAACCATCAATAAAGAAAGCCTGAAAAACCTTAAACCTGATTATTTGTTTAAACATATTTTAGCTTTTTTCCCCTAATATAATCACCTGTATATGACGTTGAAATGCCTGAAAATTTTACCCTAATGAATAGTATTTGCCTGGCATTATGATTAAAAAATATTCCATAATTTAGGTTGTCATCACAGATTACATGCACTGAAAACCATTCAACTCTGCTAGACTGCTACTTCCTATGATCATACTCTGAGTTTGTGAGCTTTCTCTGACTTCCTCATCGACCTGAAGCACTCTGCCCTGACCACCACCTCTCCTGAACCCTGATCTTTGTCAGACACTGCAGAAACAAAGGATAAAAATGTTAGTGAAGTGTTAAGACTACAAATGATATTAATACAACATCAACAATGCACTATTAGGAGTTGAACTGTCTCAACCTAAAGAACTCCGAAGAGGTCTATAGATTAAATTGAGATATAGCTTATTTCTATATGCCAAATCTTTTCCTTTTCTGTATTGCTAATAGCTGGTAAAAGGCATTGTTGATATATGAAACAAGCCAAGTTTGTCATAGTTTGCGGTGTTTGGAGGCTGACAGTAGCCTGGCTCTGCTTTCATCCATCTCAATTGTACCAGGCTAGGCTAACACCATCTTCAATGAAAATGCATTAGCGTTATCGTAGCTACCAGCGGTAGAATTTACGTACACAATTTATGAACACAAACCATATGTTTAATAGTTAGTCAATATTAGTTTCAATATGTTAATTGACAATAGACAGTACAGTTAACACAAATGTAGCATTAGCATGTTTTGTTGCGCCTTACCTTCTAAGTTGTAGAGATATTGTGAAATGTAGAATTTAAATCCTTTCTCGCGCTTGCTCTGGGGAGCAGGAGAAAACATGTCCACGAGTCTGTGAACATCATCGATAGACATGTTTGGCAGATGACCTAAACATCGGGAGAAATTCAGCTCACTGCTTGCACCATCCATTTTTCAGCCGTCTGCTCTGGCAGCGCGTCAAGCAGGCGGAAGTTGTCTCATCAACTTAGCTTTCATAACCGGAAGTAGCATTTGCTAACGTGCACAGAGTCTATTACACCTCACATTGATCTATAGTTTCCACTCATTTTTACAAGGTCACTGGTCATGGTTGTTACATAAGTAAGACAATAAGCTCAGGTCTATTTTTCTTAATCAACAAAAAATTTGTGTATTAGAGGAAAACATCTTAAATGTTTAACCAGAAATAAAATGTTACTGCCCAAGTAGTTCAACAAAGAGCTCCTACCTTCTACTTTTATTACCTTATGTATTTCAAAATGATGTTCTGTGGTAGAGAGAGATGTTGAATTTAAAGAATGACATGAAAATGCAGATCAATATAATGGGTTGCTGATGCCTACTATACTATTTCTGTTCACTGCAATATTTTAGCCCATATGAATGATATGAATTGTAGTTTGAAAATGTGGTATTGAAGGGTATTTACATACCTCTATTATTTTTCTTCCATCATTCCACCATGGGAGTAGCAGATTCAGTAGGGACTCCCTCCAGCGTGTCCTGGTCCCCCTCTGGGTCTCCTCAGGTGGGACGTGCCCAGAACACCTCACCAAGGAGAAGTCGAGGGGTCAAAGTTCACCTAAACTTTATACATGATACACATTTTTTTTTTTTTGTAATTTCCTTTTTATTGTCATTTTGAAATCTCTATACATGTTATAGAAATTATTGAAAAAGAAGAGCAACAGAATAAAATAAAATTTTAAACTTAGACCAATGTTGAGATTTTTTCTGTTTTCAGACGTTGTCGAGGTCACCCCATGCTGTCCTTGAGGGCCCCTTGGTGCCCGCAGCCATCGCATTGGTGACACGTCCCATGCTTTGTTTGTAAAATGTTGTTCATAGAGAACAAAAATATTGTAGAGAGGAATCCAAGGTCAGATCAAGGGTAATCAAATATTGAAATCCTTTATTTTTTTTGTTGGTTTCATGATTGTCATGTAGCTACTATTAATAAAGCCACAATAAAATGTTGTCATAAAACGTATGGACTACAACAAAAGAGGTTTAGTCCCCTATTGACATAGTTCATTATATAGTGGAAAAGCAATGTAAACTAATGATGTCTGGATACCAGAAGAGTGAAGCAACAATTTATAGAAGAAACTAACAAAATCAAAATATAATTTACCAACAGGATACTTTTGTCTGAAACCATTTCAGACACATTACTGCATGAGCAGGATAAAAAAAGCGTGCAGCCAGCTATTGATATTGTTATAGGATTTGAATGTTTTTAGGTCTGAAGCAAACATTTAAAGGTTTTAGGTTGCCCAAATGTTTCTGCAGTAAGGCTGTTACAGCCTCACAGCAGGCTCAGCATAGGAAAGGCTGATCAAAAGAGTCACATGCCAAGCAGTTTCATGGGTCCCATATTGCACAACTTATAGTGACCGGAAAGAGAACAGATAGTAAATCATCAACAAGTGTCCATGTCTTATTATAGATATATTATATTATAGATGCAAAAATAAAAAAAACAAAAAAAAACAAAGAATAAAACAAAGGACTCGCATTGCAGCCCACCAATACCTTTAGAACTGATGAGGTGCCAAACATATTCATGGTACTAAAATACCTTCTAACTTAAGGTACGTCACTTGTGTGAAATAAGGGTGCATATTTAAGATATGTATAATACAAGAATGAAAATCTCAGGTTGGGTGGAGGTGCACAGATGAGGAGGCAGAGATTAGTTTTTTTCAAATTTAATACATTTCCACAGGCAATTATGGCAAACGTCCAAAAAACAAAAATACTAAAAAAAAAAAAAAAAAAACTAGTAGAATTTCAAGGAAAAACACACGAGAAGCCATGAAACAATGGAGCAACAAAACAACAAGGATCCAGCAAACATTTGGGGTGTTCACATTCATGGGCTGTGTCTTCCAAGGACGCGGTCTCTCTGGACTGGATCCTTCGAAGTCCTTGATAATAAGGAGACTGAAAGAATTCTGGCAATGAATTCAAACAGGTCTAGCCTTCCACGGCTTTCTCCGCCTTATGCTCTAATCCTTAGCAACTGTGACAGTTGACACACAAAGAATGAATACCAAACTTTAAAAAAAATAATAAAATTTATTGTTAAGTGAACAAAAACTATACTGATGAGAATACAGAGTGGAATAAAGGTGACAGCCAATGGGAGCATGAACAAATAAAAGCAAATGAAATGGTATAAACCTTAGTCAGTTAAACAACAGAGAGCTGTTCTTAACTAAATTTATTGTTTACACTTGTGTATATAAAATGACAATATAAATCTGTTCAAGTCTAACATGCTGCTTTCATTTTTCACATCTCTGATGTTTCTGCTATTTTCAAATATCCATTACTGTAAAAATGTCCATAGCTGTATATTGGTTTTTATTCTCCAGGTGCATAGTTTGATATTGTTAAAATACTTTATACTACAGTATTTCATTGTTTCTTTAAACTCTTCACTATTATTTTATTCTTATACATTTTTCTAGGTTTCTAAGGTTCACATTTGTTTGACCATTCTTTTCTATAATCTTGTTGCTGCTGTAATATCCAGAGTATCCCCATTGTTGGACAATAAAGGGATTTTCTATATTATTATTGCCAATGTTTGGTTAAGCTATGAGGACCCGAATTCAGAGGCAGGGAGGCAGAGGTGAGTTTTTGCAGTTTTAATGAAATGATCACAGTTAACAAAAATCCATCTTAAAATGTCAAACTAACCAGAACCAAGGAGACATCAGGGAAAACAAGCACAAAGACCCACAAAAGGACGAGGAACCAGCACTGAGGAGCTGCAGAGGGAGAGTATTTATGGTTGACTGAACAAAGGGAGGACTAACGAGCTGATTGGGAGCAGGTGTGAACAGAGGCTTCTAGAAAAGAGCTAGGGAAAAGGAAACCAACACAAGAGGGCAACAGAGGGCAACAAAGAAAAGCCTGAGAAGCAGAAATTAAACCAATAAAACTAGAAAACAAAAGAAGAACATGAATCAACATGAAAGAGCAAACTCAAAGAAACTTAACAGAACCAAGACCATAACAATTATATTCTATGAGTATAAGTAAATCTAAACAATGACTGTTTAAAAATATATCTGCAAAATCTCTTATATTCAACAACAAAAGATACTTATTTAAGCAAATTGTGCAGTATAACAATAACCATTAAAACAACTATTCCAATATTTGTATTATATTAAACTGAACTTCCAATATTCACCACTATTCGGTTCCAAGTACCTTTTTTCTCTGAGCACGGAGCAGCCTGCTTTGTTTGATTCACTAAGAATCCTGGGATAACCAAGGCTAGATAGGATACACCGGACCCGTCCTTCAAATCGGGCAAAAAGAAGGATGCATTTTAAGGCCGCATAACAAGGAGTCTTGAATCCGACCAGACCTCAGCTCTGCACTATGTCGTAATTGGCCTTTGAATCTGGCTTTCAGAGAACGCAGCCCATGAATTTGTACGCAACCAGTGACTGAAAATGAGTTGTATAAATGGGAGACTGCACCAGGCTAATCAGCAGATTGGGAGCAGGTGTGGACAGATGATTCTTGAAGGGAACTAGGGAAAAAGAGACTAACACAAGACGGCATCAGAGGGCAAACAAGAAATATCTAAGAACTCAAATACAATCAAAATAGCTAGAACAACACAAAATGGAAATGAAACCAATAAACTAGAAAACACAGAAAGGCATGAATCAAGGTATAACTGAAAACTCAAAAAAGAAAACTTAAACAGAGCCAAAAAGTGCAGAGTCATTACAGAAAATGTGACATTTAAATGGTAAGTTTATAAAAATGAACCCTACAAAATTTTATTTGAGGCCTTAATAAACAGGCTTGAGCAGGAATGACATTTTCTTGGCAGATGTTTTATTTGGAAATGCAAATGTTATAAGGTGTATTTAGTCATAATCTAGCTTATGGCAAATGCACAGAGAAATTCCTAAAACATGACACATACAAAGGCTGTTTAACAAGTACAGCAGAAGCAATACACATAAAACTCACATTGGAATTTCTCATTTCTATATCAAATGGGTTCAACTTTTCAGTTCACTTCAGTGCAGCTTGCCAGTACAAAAACTTATGAATATAATACAAAAATATAAAATCACTTTATTATCCAAAAATGGGGAAATTCGGGAATTATGCGAGGGGCAATATAAGCTTAGTCTGTTTAGACTGTAAATGTAATAAATAGGCTAATTGCTAATTGATATATTGGAATTTATTTGTGGAGATGTATTTAAATATGTTAAAGGTATAGTGGACGATTTTGTTTTTCTGGGTGGATCATCTAAACAAGTGGTTCTCCTAATTGTCAATCATTCTGGTGATATGTTTACGTAAGGCAGTCCTACATGTTCGTACTTAACTGGCTATCTTTTTCTGCACATGCGCACTTTCAGGCGTATATGTATACTCACCTTTCTCAACGCGGTTCTTTGAAAATGGTCGAGGGTCATAAGACATACAACTAAAACTGTCTAAGAAGTGTATGAGAGGAAAATTTAGAAAAATTGCAAATCTTCTTTTGGAAAGTAAGCTTGTAAGAGCGATGCAAACAGCAACTTTTAAACAGAGTGGGCACAAGGAGAAATGGGCTCGTGCATGATCTTGCACACGTTTAATAGGCATTCCCTCTCTGGAGCAGGTACAGTGTTATACATGTGCATTTGTTTTTGTGGAGAGGGTGGGAAAATCCTCCCCTATACCTTTAAATTACAACAGTCATCAGCAAAAAAGAGCTGAAAGATAACAAAAAGTGAAGAGACAGGAAATGATAAAAATACCTATAAATTCCTTATTAATGAATATGACTTTCTGTCTGTTTATCCCAAATATTTTTCCTCCTTAAACCTCTCAAATCACTGCAGCTTGTTTGAGTGTTCGAGGAGGAGCATGTTTGTTACTATGCACACACTCCAAGGTGAAGGCCAATGGGCTCCTCCGCAGGGACCCAACAGACACATATTGCTTTGGAGCCTCAAGGTAAACACACTACTTTGTCTCCCTCTCACAGCTCCCTC